CTGAGAAAATCACTTAAAACCACACAGTTAAATAGAAATTAAACGACTTTAAGACTATTCTAAGAAACTTTCAAAAACATGTAACACTTAAAGAAATGGCCATTTTCTCTGAAAGAAACTGGTTTGATAGCCATGATCATATTGCTGGCTGCTTTTATCAAAAGTCTTTTGTTGAAACCACCACCTATACTCTTTAAACAAATAAATAAAATCTAAAACCTCTTGCTTAAAAAAAAAAGAAAGGAAAAAAAAGTAAAGAAAAGAAATTAAACAATCTTCCCCTGCATGACTTTGGGGCAAATAATGAAGGCAGAAATAAAGAAATTCTTTGAAACTAATGAGAACAAAGACACAACATATCAGAATCTCCGAGACCCAGCTAAGGCAGTGTTAAGAGGGAAGCTTATAGCACTAAACATCCCACACCAAAAAATTAGAAAGATCTCAAATTAACTACCTAACATTGCAATTAGAAGAACTAGAGAAACAAGAGCAAACAAACCCCAAAGCTAGCAGAAGACAAGAAACAACCAAAATCAGAGCTGAACTGAAGGAAACTGAGATTCAAAAAACCATACGAAAGATCAACAAATTCAGGAGTTGACTTTTGGGAAAAAAAAAAAAAAATAGACTGCTAGCTAGACTAGTAAAGAAAAAAGAGAGAAGATCCAAATAAATATAATCAGAAATGACAAAGGGACATTACCACTGACCCCACAGAAATACAATACCCTTCAGAGACTGCTATGAACAACTCTGTGTACACAAACTAGAAAACCTAGAAGAAACTGATAAGTTCCTGGATGCATACAATCTCTCAAGAATGAACCAGGAAGACATTGAATCCCTGAACAGACCAATAATGAATTCCAAAATTGAATTGGTACTAAAAAGCCTGCCAACCAAAAAAAAAAAAAAAATGTCTAGGACCAGATGGATTCACAGCCTGATTCTACAGCTGTATAAAGAAGAATTGATACCATTCCAACTAAAAATATTCCCAAAAACTGAAGAGGAGGAACTCCTCCCTAACTCATTCTATGATGCCAGCATCATCCTGATACTAAAACCTAGCAGAGACACAACAAAAAAACAAAACTTCAGGCCAATATCCTTGATGAACATAGATGCAAAATCCCCAACAAAATACTAGCAAACCAAGACTAGCAGCACATCAAAAGCTAATTCACCATGATTAAGTAAGATTTATCACTGGGATGCAAAGTTGGTACAACATATGCAAATCAATAAATGCGATTCACCACATAAATAGAACTAAAAACAAAATCCACATGACTATCTCAATAGCTGCAGAATAGGCTTTCGATAAAATTCTACATCTCTCTGTCAGAGGCATTCAAACCAGAGTTTTTTGACTCATTCAAACCAGAGTTTTTTGACTCTATCTTGAATAGGGGCTGGGTAAAATAAGGCTGAAACCTACTGGGCTGCATTCCCAGGAGGTTAGGTAATCTAAGTCACAGGATGAGATAGGAGGTCAGCACAAGATGCAGGTCATAAAGACCTTGCTGATAAAACAGGGTGGAGTAATGAAGCCAGCTAAAACCTACAAAGAAAACAAAGATGGCAAAGACAGTGACCTCTGGTCATCCTCATTGCTCATTATATGCTAATTATAATACATTAGCATGCTAAAAGACACTCCCACTAGTGCAATGACAGTTTACAAATGCCATGGCACCTTCAGGAAGTTGCCTTGTATGGTCTAAAAAGGGAAGGAGTCCTCAGTTCCCAGAATTGCCCACCCCTTTCCCAGAAAACTCATAAATAATCCACCCCCTGTTTAGCATGTAATCAAGAAGTAACAATAAGTATCCATAGTTGAGAAGCTCAAGCTCTGCTCTGCCTATGGAGTAGCCATTCTTTTTATCTTTACTTTCTTAATAAACTTGCTTTCACTTTACTCTGTGGACTTGCCCTGAATTCTTTCTTGCGTGAAATCCAAGAACCCTCTCTTGGGGGTTTTCTGGTAACATTTCCATGTTAAAAACCTTCAACAAACTAGGCATTGAAAGAACATAATTCAAAATAATAAGGGCCATCTATAACAAACCCACAGCCAACATCACACTGAATGGCAAAAGCTGGAAGCATTTCCCTTGCAAACCAGAACAAGACAAGGAGGCCCTCTCTCACCACTCCTATTCAACATAGTACTGGAAGTCCTGGCCAGAGTAATCAGACAAGATAAAGAAATAAAAGACACCCAACTAGGAAGAGAGGAAATCAAACTATTCCTGTTTGCAGACAACATGATTATATATCTAAAAGCCCCCATAGTCTCTGCCCAAAAGTTCCTTATGCTAATTAACAACTTAAAAGTTTCAGGATACAAAATCAGTGTACAAAAATCAGTAGCATTCTTATACATCAAAAATATCCAAACTGAGAACCAAATTAGAAATGCAATCCCATTCACAATAGCAACAAAAAAGAATAAAATACTTAAGAATACAACTGAGAGGTGAAAGAGCTCCACAAGGAGAATTTCAAAATGCTGCTCAAATAAATCAGAGATGACACAAACAAATGAAAAAACATTCCATGCTCATGGATAAGAAGAATCAATATATTGTTAAAATGGGCATATTGTCCAAAGCAATTTGAAGATTCAATGCTCTCCTTGTCAATCTACCAATGACATTCTTCACAGAATTCGCACAAACTATTTTAAAATCCATATGGAACCAAAAAGGAGCCCAAATAGCCAAGGCAATCCTAGGCAAAAACAAAAACAAACAAAGCTGGAGGCGTCACACTACTCAATTTCAAACAATACTACAAGGCTACAGTCACCAAAACAGCATGGTACTGGTACAAAAACAGACACATAGGCCAACGGAACAGAATAGAGAACCCAGAAATAATGCTGTAGACCTGTAACCATTTGATCTTTGACAAAGTTGATGAAAACAAGAAATGGGGAAAGAATTCCCTATTCAATAAACAGTGCTGGGATGGTTGGCTAGCTATTTACAGAAGATTAAAACTGGACCCCTTCCTTAGACCATACACAAAAATCAACTCATGATAGATTAAAGACTAAATGTAAAACCTAAAACTATAAAAACCTTGGAAGATAACCTAGGAAATACTATTCTGGACATAGGCCTTAGCAAAGATTTCATGATGAAGAAACTCTCAACAGAGTAAACAGACAACCTACAGAATGAGAGAAAATATTTGTAAACTGTGCATCTGACAAAGGTCTAATATCCAGAATCTATAAGGACCTTAAACAAATTTACAAGAAAAATTAACCCCATTAAAAAATGGGCAAAGGACATGAACAGACACTTTTCAATAGAAGACATATATGTGGCTAACAAGCACATGAAAAAATATTCAACATCACTAATCATTAGAGAAATGAAAATCAAAACTACAATGAGATACTATCTCACACCAGTCAGAATTGCTATTATTAAAAAGTTGAAAAATAACAGATACTGGTAAGATTGTGGTAAAAAGGGAACACTTATACACTGCTGGTGGGAATGTAAATTAGTTCAGCCCTTGTGGAAAGCAGTGTGGTGATTCCTCAAAGAACTTAAAACAAATACCATTTGACTCACAGATCCCATTATTAGGTATTGCCCAAAGGAATATTAATCATTATGTTATAAAGATACATGCATGTGTATGCTAGATGCAGCACTACTCACAACAGCAAATACATGGGCTTAACCTAACTGCCCATCAACAGTAGTTTGGTTAAAGAAAATGTGGTACATATAACCACAGAATACCATCCAGCCATACAAAAGAACAAGCTCATGCCTTTTTCAGCAACATGGATGGAGCTGGATGCCATTATCCTAAGCAAACTAATGCAGAAACAGAAAATCAAATACCACATGCTTGCATTCATGGACACAAAGAGGGGAGCAACAGACACTGGAGCCTACTTGAGGATGGAGAGTGGGAAGAAGGAGAGAATAAAAAACTACCTATTGGAGACTGTGCTCATTACCTGGATGATGAAATAATATGTACACCAAATCCCCATGACGCACAGTTTACCTATATAACAAACCTGAACATGTACCCTGAACTTAAAATAGCAGTAAAAGAAAAAAATAACACAATACTATTAGCATGAAGAAGTAAAGTACTAAGGAAGAAATCTAACAAAATATGCACTATATCTATGTGAAGAAAACTACAAACTCCAAAGAAAGAAATCAAAGAAGATTTAATTAAATGGAGAGACTATGTTCGTGGATAAAAACACTCAATATTGTTAAGATGTTTTGTTTTCCCAACTTTATAGATTCAATGTAATTCAAATAAAAAGCCCAGCAAGCTATTTTGTGGAGATTAACAAATTCAGATTTATACAGACAGCCAAGAAACACAAAATAGCCAACATAATACCAAAGAGGCAGAAAAAACTAGGGGAATTAACACTACCTGACTTCAAGGCTTAGCATAAATGTATAGTAATCAAGACAGTGTAGTATTGGTAAAAGAATAGACAAATTGATCAACTGAACAGAATAGGGAGCCCAGAAATAGATCCACACAAATATACTCACCTGACCTTTGACAAAGGAGCAAAGGCAATTCAATGGAGAAAGGCTAGTCTTCTCAACAATTGCTCCTAGAAAAAAAGGCCATCCACATGTTAAAACAATATGTATAGGCACTGACTTCACACATCTCACAACTCATAATTCAAAACAGATCATATACCTAAATGTAAAATGCAAAACTAAAACTTCTAGAATATAACACAGGAGAAAAATCTAGTTGACCTTGCATTTGGTGATAACTTCTTATACTAGACCAAAAGCACAATTCATGAAAGAAAACATTGATGATATGGACCTCACTTAAAATTAAAACTTTTGCTCTGTGAAATGCACTGTTAAAAACATTAATAGACAAGCCACAGACTGGGAGAAAATATTGCAGAATACATATCTGACAAATGACTTGTATTCAAATATGCAAAGAAGTCTTAAAACTCAACAACAGTGCTTGCTTCGGCAGCATATACACTAACATTGGAACGATACAGAGAAGATTAGCATGGCCCGTGCACAAGGATGACATGCAAATTCGTGAAGAGTTCCATATTTAAAGATTAAAAGAAAAAATTTTTAAAAACCCTCAACAACAAGAAAACAAATAACTCAATTTTAAAAGTGAGCTAAAGATCTGAGAAACACCTCACCAGAGGAAATATACAGATGGCAAATAAACATATAAGACTATATATACCATACACTATACACCTAAAGACATAGTAACATTTTATGTCATTAGAGAAATGCAAATTAAAACAACAAGATACCACCACACACCTATTAGAATGGCTCAAATCCAAAAACTGATAATACCAAATACTGGGGAGAATGTGGAGCAATGCAAACTCTCATTTATTACTGGTGGAAATGCACAGTGGTACAGCCACTTTAGAAGGCTGTTTGACGGTTTCTTACAAAGTTAAATATGTTCTTACTATTGAGCTCAGGAATTGCACTAATAGCTATTTGCCCAGATGAGTTGAAAACTTATGTTCACATAAAATCTGCTAGGAATGTTTATTACAGCTTTGCTCATAATTGCCAAAAACTGGAAGCAACCAAGATGTCCTTCTGAAAGGTGAATGGATAAACAAATTGTAGTATATCTACCCATGCAGTGAAATATTATTTAGTACTTAGCCATTAAAATAAATGAACTATCAAGCTGTAAGACCTGGAACAAACTTAAGTACATATTGCTTGATAAAAGAAACCAGCTGAACATATCTAAGGTCTCCAATATAATCTTGAGTAGTAACGGTAATAGAAAGTGTCCATCCATCTATATCATGTTGTAAATTTTATTAAAATGCTTCTAAATTTAACCATCAATATGTGTTTATGGTTTTTGCATTTGCATTGATGTCAATCATGACATTAAGGGGTGTCTTTCTTTTCCTCTTTTGCCATGAAGTTTTTGTTTGTTGTTGTTGTTTTTTAAGAATCATGAATAGATTTTTAAATAATATCAAACAAACAGATTTTCCTCATCCACTGACCATTAAAATAGCCACATTTTAATATTTGATTCCTTAATATGGTGAAGTACAAGGATATAATTTTAGTTGTTGAGCTACTGTTGGATTTCTGATGTAAAGTTGTCATGGTCTATATTTTAGTATGTTGTTTGATTCAATTATTGATATATTTAATGTGTTTACATCCATGTTCATAAGTGAAATGTGGCTATAATTTTTTTTTTCATTGCCTTGGTATCATCTTAAAAAATTAACAAGTCGTGTTTCCCCTTTTTTTTTTTTTTTGAGGCAGAGTCTCACTGTGTCACCCAGGTTGGAGTGGGAATGCAATGGCAAGATCTTGGCTCACTGCAGCCTCTACCTCCCAGGTTCAAGTGATTCCCCTGCCTCAGTCTCCCGAGTAGCTGGGGTTACAGGCACCCACCACCACGTCTAGCTAATTTTTGTATTTTTAGTAGAGACAGGGTTTCACCATGTTGGCCAGGCTGGTCTCAAACTCTTGGCCTCAAGTGATCTTCCCGCCTTGGCCTCCCAAAGTGCTGGGATCACAGGTGGGACCCACCATGCCTGGTCATGTTTCCTCTTTTAAAAAAAGAAATGTGTTTTTTAAAATAACCTTTTAGCAGTTTGTATAGGGATTAGTTGTTTCTTGAACATTTGTTAAAACTGCCTGTAAATCTATATACTGATAATATCTTTATTGTAGAAGGCAGACATTTTAATATTGATTGTTGTTTTTGAATGATTATTTATTTGCTCAGATTTTTTAAGCTTTATTGGTGACTTATATTTTCCCAGAAAATAATCTATTTCATCTAGGTTTTACAAATTTATTGAATATCGCTATTCAAATTATCCTTCTAAGGCTCTTTAAGTCTCTACTATAGCTGTTTTTCTTGTTTTGATCCTTTATGTTTTCCTTCTTTTTTTTTTTTTTGAGACAGAGTCTCACTCTGTCGCTCAGATTGGAGTGCAGTGGTGCGATCTCGGCTCACTCCAACCTCCCCACCTCCAGGGTTCAAGTGATTCTCCTGCTTCAGCCTCCAGAGTGGCTGAGATTATAGGTGTGTCCCACCATGCCTCACTAATTTTTTGAATTTTTAGTAGAGATGGGGTTTCACTGTGTTAGCCAGATGGTCTTGATCTCCTCACCTTCACAACTAATTTTCAACTGTTTGCATTGATTTTTAATTTTATTTCATGTTTGCCAGAGAACATTGTTCCTATAATATCAGCTTTAAAAAAGAAAATACAGACAAATTCTCATTCTGTCACCTAGACTGAAGTACAGTGGCATGATCACAGCTCATTGCAACGTTGAACTCCTAGGACCAAGCAATCCTCCTAGCCTCCTGGGTTGCTGGCATAACAATCATGTGTTACCATGCCCTGCCAATTTCTTCATTTTTTTTTTTAAGAGATAGGGTCTCTTTAGGTTGCCCAGGCTGGTCTTCAACTCCTGGCCTCAAGTGATCCTCGTGCAGGTTTGTTTCATGGTTATATTGGGTGATGTTGAGGTTTGGGGTGTGATTGAACCCATCACTCAGAGAGTGAGCATAGTAACCAATACGTAGTTTTTCAACCTTTCCTCCCTTCTTCCCTCCCAACTCCTGTAGTCCCCAGTGTCAACTGTTCCCATCTTTATGTCTAACCTTTTTTTAAAATAATAAGCATCCTTCTATTCGCTGATGCCATTACAAAAACCAATTACATTAGCAACAAAAAAGTGTTTTCTTGAGTTGAAGTCAGAAGCAGTTACTTCCCAAAATGTTGAGTAAAACAGTGTACACATCCAATGTTTAGCTCCCACATATAAGTGAGAACATGGGGTATTTGGTTTTCTGTTTCTACATCAATTTACTTAGGATAATGGTCTCCAACTGTATCCATGTTACTGCAAAGGACATAATTTCTTTCTTTCTTATGGCTGCATAGTATTCCACAGTGTATATGTACCACATTTACTATTTTTAATTGAAGCTAAAAACTTTTAAAAATGCTTTCAACTAAATTGTGACAATGCTTTTTTATCAATATTTTTATTGTGTGCTTATTGAAATATATCTTTTATTTACTTAAACATGTACTCAATTACATATCATTTATATATTATTTTTGTCTATATAAAAAGAAATATATAAGCAAAACAAATCATTTAAGGTATTTCTAAAATTTCTTCCCCTTTAAATTCATGTTCAATCACTTTTACTCAGTAGCACAAATATCTGTTTTTCTATCCAGTAGAAAAACAGATGTACCATAAAGAAAGTTTGTGATGCAGCATTTTTAAAAAAGTGCTTCACTATTAACCTCTGGGATTTTCTTACAAATTGCTGACTCTGGTCCAACGGGTTTTAATACTGGATATGACTAAGAGTAAAGAGTAAATTAGTATTAATTCTGCATCGATATTAATCTAGATAAAATTTGGGGCTCTGTAAGCATAGAAGAGGAAAGTAGATACTGGGGACAACTGGCAGTCTCAAAAGCGTGGTAGTCATTTCCATGTTATATACACAAGGTAAATGAAGCCCAGAGAAGTAGACTAATTTGCCAGTGATACACAATTACTGCCACAGAGCCAGGATGAAGTCCAAGTATATGCAGCCCTGCAATCCTACTCTAAAACACAAATCTAGGTAAGTAATACCAAGTTTTGGGTAACCCCAACACTTTGGCAGACTAAGTCAGGAAGATCGCTTGAGCCCAGGAGTTCAAGACTAGCCTAGGCAACACAGGGAGATCCTGCCTTTACAAAAAGTTAAAAATTAACTGGGCATGGTGGTATGTGCCTGTAGTTCCACTACTCGGGAGGCTGAGGTGGGAGGATCACTTGAGACTGGGAGGCAGAAACTATAGTGAGCCATGATTGTGCTACTACACTCCAGCCTAGGCAACATAGACTCTGTCTCAAAAAACGTATGTAAATGTGCTTCTTCTTAAACTCAACAGTTCCTTTAAGAATTTAGTCTAAACATACCAGTACAAATGTGCAAACATATATAGGATCTACATGAGTGAGTCACTTTTGCAGACTTTAAGTTGGAAACTAGTGTTGTAAATAAAGGTGGAAGGTTAGGTGGCAGATACATTGAAATTTGAGAGTCAGTGATAGCAGTATCATTATTGGTGCAAGCAATAGCATCTGTAATCAGCAAGCACAGTAGTGGTGTTCCCACTAGACCAGTTCTGCAGTGTGATTTTGGGAATTTGTCTTGGTAGGCCAGTCTCCAAGATGGTTCTTTGCCATCCCAGAGATTCTGTGAGCTGCCAAGTATCTTTCAAAACATTCTCTTCCTACTTAAAATGTTAATTGGTTTCCACTGATTGCAAGGAGAAGTCTAACTGATAAACTGGCCTCCTCTCTTTTCCTCCAAACTGACAAGTCGTTACTGCCTTAGGATCTCTGCATTCCATGTTCATCTACCTTGATCACACAGGGCCCATTTCTTTGTATCATTCAGGATTTAGGCCAAATATCACTTACCTTGCAGCAGAAACAACCCAGATCCTCCTCCGTGTGTGTGTGTGTGTGTGTGTGTGTGTGTGTCAAGGTCTCCTTCTGTAGCTTAGGTTAGAGTGGCACAATCATGGTTCACTACAGCCTCCATCTCCTGGCCCTGGCTTCAAACAATAAACAATACTCCCACTTCAGCATCCTGAACACCTGAATATCTGGGACTAGAGGAACATGCCACCATGCCCAGCTAATTTTTTTTATTTTTAATTTTTTGTAGAGACAGAGTCTTGCTATGTCATCCAGGCTGGTCTCATATATCAGTATGTACCATTGTTCTCCAGCATGGGTGACAAAGTGAGACCCTATCTCAAAAAAAGAAAAAGAAAAAGAAAAAAATGAGGGAGGGAAGGAAGGAAGGAAGGAAGGAAGGAAGGAAGGAAGGAAGGAAGGAAGTGGGGGAGGGAGGGAGGGAGGGAAGGAGGGAGAGAGGGAGTGAGAGAAGGAGGGAAGGAGGGAAGGAAGGAAGAAGGAGAGAAACAATAAAAGGAAAACCCCAAACTTTCAGATTTGCCCTGTTAAGGCCACATACCTCCTGTGCAGCAACTAAATACATGAG